CACACCTGGGGGTTGAATTTGTAATCATCAAGTTCTACGTGGACGAGGAACCCCTCAAAATTTCAGCTTTCTAGCTTCTCTGATTCCCGAGTTAGCAGTTTACCCGGCAAAAACTTTGGCGGGCCCGTAGGGGTAAACCACTTGGGTAACAGCGCCCATTTTGAGGATTGGGAACTGAACTTGCATGTAGATTACGCTTCAAAAGTTTCAGCTCTGTAGCTTTTATAGGTCTCGAGATGAAAAATCGGTACAAATGCACACATACACACAAACACAGAAAACCCCGCGAAAATAAGTGTTTTTCGCATTGCATAGATGCAAAAAGCGCATAAAAATTGACCGTTCCATTTGTATGCGTCGCAAAAGCATCCGCATATTTTGTGAGTAAATTTTACAGAATTTAAAAAGTGCATTCGCTCAAATTAACTCTACTGCTCATAATTCCCTAGTCCTCGTCATATGAACTTTCAATAGTTTCAGCAAGCAAAAATTTGCCAATCGCATTCACAGAATGAGTTGAGTATCAAAAAACGTATAAATTTCACACTCTGTGTGACTTTTCTCCCAAATACTAAGACCCCCGAAACTTATCGGTCTCTTAACAGCTAATGGCAGCAAATTTGGGGTAATTCACAAGAAACTTTGAAAATCAATATCAGCACACTTTCGCATTCATTCAATCGGTGGAAGAGTGGGGAAAGAGGGAGGGAAAGGGAATTTTAAACGTATCAAAAGGAGCAAGGATGCTCCTTACTTGCAGAATAAAGAAGACGAAATTTAGTGAAAGCTTTTTAATTAGGATGAAAATTTTTAACACTACCAGAATCAACTGCGTCCGGCTTCGGAAGATCTGATGTCTCTGTTTCCGCGTTTGATGTTGTCTGAAAACATCAAATTTCAAAAAATACGATATAGTGCAGTTCCAAGCGAGCTACTGAGACATTTTAGTATAAGCCTGTAATTATCCCTTTTTCCTTCATCGGCCGACAAAAAGTCTGTGCTCTTCTTGCGATTAAGAGATAGAAAAACCAATGTGTAAGCATGTCAAGAATAGCTTAATTCGGTCAATG